AGTTCTGCAAGGGCTTGATGCAGCTGAAGCTGAGTATGATTCAGAAGGGCTTTGGAGGGGGTTGATAGACCGTATAATATGGAGGCTGGTCAAAATTATGCTCTTTTTCTGTAAGTTCTTGGCCGTAGTTTAAGGGGGACCTAAGAAGCGACCAACCTATTACATCATGAGCACCAACATTCTACATAACTCATCTTGCGACAAACATCTTACCAAGCAAAACTTTTTCCTTTTTTAAAAGAAATCAGCCATAGGAAAGGGCAGGCACGAGCCTTGGACATCGTACTCTTGCAACATGAAAGCGCCAAGCTGATGCGGCGATGCGAGGAAATTCATCGGATTGTCTCCAGAGACAAACGACCAGTTCCAGTTCTTTCCTAGGCAGGGAAAATCCCAAGTTATAGCCAAGGGTATATAGGGGAGTATTCTAGGGNNGGACTTTAGACTGTAGCTCATATCCTTTAGTCCAAGAGAATCCTCGAACAAGACAAATGTGTCGTAGTTCGCCTGCCTAGGTTCTTTCAGGCAAGCACCAGCAAAGGGGCAGTAGTCTCTAAGAGACACACATGCCTGCACGGTCTGTCTTAGGTGTCGCACGAGGACCAGATACCTGCGGTTCGGCGTGCAAAAGAATTCCTGGGCCTCCAAGGATTAGCATTTAGTATTTAGGGTTTGGGCTAGAGCCTGCGGCAGTCCAGATGCAAGAGGGGTTTCGGGGCATGCATCCTATAGCTTTTTCTACTGGTCTACACCCAGGAAATCCTAGTCACATCTTCGTGATCCATCCCTTCGTTCCCTTCTCAAGAGGTGAAGGCGCATGGCATCTGGGCCTATGCCCTCTGAGCCTGGTTGTTGTGTTCAACTGCACAACCTTTAGCTGGTAGCCTTGTCAATTGTCAAATACCTTCTTTACAATTAGGGGCCTTGCACTTCGTTGAATGCGGAAACTGTGCGTGAGGAGGTGAATGATGCACTTCTCTAATGAGATCTTCTTTCCAACGGGCCAGTTGCAAGGGGCCGCAGTGAAGACAGTCATGTCGCTTCGGCAATTGCAGCTTTTGCAGGTGTGTTCAATCTTGACGGCGGACGGTGGACCTAGCTAATTGGAGACCCCAGTTGGTAGCAGTAGCTGAACGTTTGCATGCAAGAATTGATTCAGCTGATTGACCGCAGCCCTCTCGGACTGGTTTTTCCTGCTGTCGCTGAATCACTGAAGTTGGGCATGCATGTGGTAACTAGAAGTAGTCCTGCATCTCATCATTACAGCTTTGAGAGGGATGCCCGTGCCCGGCCATGCAGAGAAGCTGCCACCGCCTCAGAGTCACCTGGAAACTTGGCTGTTGGCCGCCCTGGATTTCAAGTTCGCGCAGCAAGAAGCGGTTCCTGAGCTTGATCAGATTCTGTGATCCACAGAACGGCATTTGTAATCCCAGGCCCTGAGAGGATCTAGAAAGTAGCCCGGATGCAAAAAGTAGACTCTCTTAAATACTGAAATAACCCCATGGTTGTACAGGCTGCCACATTGTTGCAGGTTCTAGATCCTCCCAGGCATCTAGGATGTAGACATACTAATCAATAACATCCCTACAGAGACCCTGCATGCATATACCGGAAAGTTGTGCTGAAAGGGCTCCAAATCAGCCAGAGGTTTTGCGCGGCCTGATTGGACGGAACAGCAACGGTATCTGGGTTGCTGTTAAGGAAC